AAAAAAAAACAACAACAACAAAAGAGACGCCTAGACAAGTGTGACGCTAAATCCGAGCAGCGTAATAACAACACCAAAGGCGACAGTGATTGTTGATTTGCGAAGGCAGTAACAAAAGTAGTAACCGCAAAAGTCCTGACAACAACAACCACAAAAACAATATCTAGCATTAGCTATAACAATTGCAAATAAATACAATACAAAACGTAAAATCGATGGTCGGCTGACACTTTGTCTGCTAAAGCTTTGCGTTTATTGCTTGTGGAAAATAGAACGAAAAAAGCAGCATAAAAAAAAAAAAGTATTGTGGCGTGTCGTCTTGAAAATGCGCTAATACCTAATAAAGTCGTCAACTTATAGGCGAAAGCAGACAAAACGTAAAAAATAGAGAGCAAAGTTGAAAGTAGTATCAAGCACGTCAACATACATACACACGCATTATAAAGAGGAGAGCAGAGCGCTAGCTAGGCGCAGCGTTAAAGCTAAGACAGCTATCCCTGTGATATATGAAAATTGCACTGTAACTAACTGGTATTTAAAACGTAGCCGTTATATAAGAAAAGAAGTAATAACAAATAGTATGACTGCAAGGCTATCAGCAAATAATTAGCAAATAAATAAATAAAGGCATACCGACATACAAACCTACATATGAAGCGCTAAGCCAGTCAAAAAAAAAAAACTCTTCAGCCTCTATATAAATATATAATTACTACTAGTAGAACAGCTGAAAGTTGTACATAATTAATTTAAATAGAAATAAATAAAAATTATTACAAAGTTAAACTTACTCGAACATAAAGTAACTTAATAGATTGCAAAGAAATTTTTAAGCGCTTAAAAAACATTTTAAAAGTTATTAAATTGCCTTACAACAACAGATCACTTAAGATTGTAGAAATAACACTCGTTTATACTTCGTAATTCTGCGTTTGTATTTCGTAACACTTCTTTAATACTTCGTATAGCTCTCTTACGCTTCGTTTATACTTCGTGTAACTCCACAACATTTACTTTGGATTTCGTATAGCTTCGCAACACTTCGTATTAATTTGTTACACTTCGTTTTTAATTCGTATAACATCGTAACACTTCGTTAATATACGTTTCAACTCCGTAACTTTCGTCAATCGTCGTTACAGCTCGTTGTTGCATTCGTTAAACTTCGTAACTTCGTTTATTAATTACCATTTCACTTCGGCGCTGCGCAAAAACTGTTCGTTTATCATCGAAACACTTCGACGCAGCACTAGAACACTTCGTTCATCTTCATATCAATTTGGCGCCGCGTAGCTCTAGCGTTGTTAATTCATTCATACTTTTGCTCAACCCATTACCCTTTATCGGGCATAATCAACAACAACAACAAAAACAGCAAACATGGGCGATGAATTGGAGGAGCGCACCTTCAAGGAGAAGATGCTCTTCTATACCACTGCCTTCTTCATTCTACTCGGCACATTCAGCATGTTCGCCTTTCTCTTTCTTGTGCCCTTTGTCATCGAGCCCGCATTCACAACGATATTCATGCAATTCGAAGAGGTGCCAGCGCTGTGCGAAACCTACGATGTGGAAACCTATTTCGGCGCCAAGAATTGCTCGTGGGCGTCTTGTCGTGAGGGTTGCACAAAGGATATTTACACTTGTACGCAAATACGCGTCAACTATCGACTGAATTTGTATAATTACACAGATGAATTCAATTTCACTGAATATCACATCAATTTGGCTTGGGCGGAACGTGAATTGCCGCCAGTGAAGCGTACGGATCGCTATGAGCGCGCTATACGCGATTATGATTACGATGCGGCTACGAGTGATGCCGCCAAAGCGAATCAGTTAGAAGGGGCAATGGGTGCGCCAATTGGCGCTGTGGGGTCAGCGTCTGCATCTGCGTCGGCAGCAGCAGCAGCAGCAGCAGCAGCAACAGCATCATCATCGGCGGCGGCGGCGGCAGCATCGAGCAACAACGTGCAGCTGGAAACGATCAGCTTTGATGGTGGTTTAGATGGTGGTGGTGGTGGTGGTGGTGGTGGTGCAATTGGTGATGGCACAAGCGGCTATCTCGTCGATGAGGAGGCCATGGATGATGATTTGGGCCTTGGTGGTATTGGTGGTGTGCTCATCAACGAGGAGCGCCAGCCCTTCGATGAGATATCCGAATTGAATGAGGGTCTCATGGGCAATAATTCGATGTATTTTTATGTTGGCGCGCGCCTATTCCCTAACGTTAAGGGTTGCGGCTATCCGCCCATGCTCAATTGCACCATTTGGTTGAAGCGTTACACGAAGATTGGCATCAAATTTCCATGCTACTATTCAAAAGTGGATCCAAGTTTGGTGATAAGCGATTTGGATTATTGGCAGAACACATTAAATCTGATCTATTCGATGGCCATACCGATACCATCGTTCATTATATCGGTGATATACCTGACATATGCGTACTTCAAAATCTATAATGAGGATGAAGAGACGGCGCCGCTCGATAAGAACGCCGAAGATATGGATATTGATGAGGGTGAAGTGGATGAGAGTGATGGCGCTGCGTTGGCAAATAATGTCGCTGGCAGTCAAATCATCAATATGGACTCGACGACGGGTGAGAGTTGTGTGGATGTGGTGCTGCCGAATGGTGGACCCGGTATGACAACCTCAATATCGCAGGGTGGCTCGGTCACAACGCCTGGACAGTATTTGGCGCAATCGCCGGTCGGTTCACAAATGACACCGAATTCCGATATGAACTCATTCGGTCATCAGCTTAAGGTGCAAATGGCAGACGAAATGTCACGCGACTCACTGGAAAATGGCGTGCTGTCGACTTCGAATTCTGTGCAAGGGTAAGTGAATTTTTTTTACCAAAGGTTAAATACAATACATATGTATATAAATAATATAAAAAATTGCATGTACTTACATTAGGGTGGTACGTAAAATATCAGCAGAAAAGTTTTGTGTGGGGCAACTCTATATTTTGTTATACGTACAAAATAAAGAGATCCACGAAAATTTCAAAATTGCATGTGCATACATACATTAGGGTGGTACATAAAATATCAGCATCAAAATTTTGTGTGGGTATCCCTTTATTTTGTTATACGTACAAAATAAAACCACCCATGAAATTTTCAAAATCTTAAGAAATTTTTTGTGTCGCTCATGGCTTGAGAAATTAAAATTAAAAAAAATCACAAAAATCCGACAAAATATTAGCTTTAAATCTCCTAAATTTGACATATTGGAACATATTCATATAAATCCATAAACTCGCTGAGTTATAGCTGGTCAAAGTCAAAATTTTGTTAATTTGTTTGCTCTTTAAAAAAATAATTTTTTCAAACCCTGGTAGTGACTCCTAAATATTTTTTTAATTTCAAAATTTTCTTGGCTGTATTTATTTTGTACGAAAAACATAAACGAGGGTTGTCACATCATGTTGATATTTTAAGGACCACCCTATGTACATACAAATTTAAAACTTGTTTTGGTAAACTTTCTTTCTACTTTCTTCACGCTTTTCCCAGATTTCATAGCCTTAAGAAACAGGTTAGTTTCGCTTTTTATTAACCTACAAATATATGTAGCTCTTGGCGCATTATAAGTAAACTTGTGGAGTAATGCTAGAAATAATATGTGTACATATTGACCATAACTCTTTGAAATCAAGGAAGGGGAAATATTTTCCTTAAGGCTAGTTTATTTTATTTTTAAAGATTGAAGTATTTAGTCACATGGTGGTCATCTTGCCTTAAATTTGCTTTGAGGCTAAACTATCCGGAGGGGTCCTCGATGCTCTTCACCTCCTCGTCGATTCAGCTGCGGCAAGAATCGTTGCGCCCGAAGCCTTTACTTATAAGATTATTTTTAAGAGCGCCAATTTTTGCTTGTATGGGCAAAATTTCCTTGGGATATTTCCTCCCTCTCCTCATCGGCTATGTAGTTGCCAGGAATGCCCATGCGCCCAGGAACCCATACAACTGTCAAGGAGCATTTTGATGCCAGCAGGTTGAGAATCGTTCTGCACTCTAGGGCTACTTTGTACTATATTTCCGTTAGAATGAATAGCAGCTTAGCTGTCAGAATGTATGTATAGTCGTTTTGGATGGGTGGAAGTTATGTGCGGCCTCCGTTATGGCGTACAGCTGAGCTTGAAAAACGCTACAATGGTCCGGTAAGCGAAAACTGAGGTTTGATGCGAGTTCACAAATGTAAATTCCACTACTCACGCTTTCGTTTAGCGCGGAACCATCTGTACTATAATAGCCGTAGACCCTGGATTTAAGTCTGTGACTTCTTCCCATTCACTCTTCTCTGGGATTCTCATGAAGAATTTGTTGCTTAGACAGAGTAACAGAGTGGTATAATCTAGTTATCGTAGATTACCCGGTAGAGATTCAAGAACCTTTGTTGCATCGTATTTAACCTGGCAGCCTTAAAGCCGGCCAAAGAGTTGATGTAGAGATCCACCGATGGAAGATTTAATAGTGCTAGTACGGAAGCCGTTCCACCTTGGCTCTGGACAAAGTCTGGCTCAACGCAGGTGACCACTTAGACGAGGATGGAATGGTTATCAGGTATACTGAGCGTTATTAGCCTTCATGGAGATGTCTTCGATGCTGCGCTCCCAATCAAGCTTCCTGTCTAGAATGGCCTAACGTCTCAAAAAGTACCGTAACAAAATTTTTTATACCGAAGGTTACCTCTTAAAATCCGAAGAAACCGAATTATTTTTCGACTTTTTTGTGATGTATCTCCATAGCATATTTTCTAACTTCATATACTAAATTCGCAATATGTAAAACTCCAAAGTCTAGATAAATGCGTCCCTGATTTTATTTTATAGCAGTTAAATTTTTACTAGTTGCAGCTAATATTTTACATCTCATTGCTTGTTATTACTCGCTGTATGTATTGCCATTGTCGATGTAAAAGTATCAAATTACTGAAGAGAGATTACGAATACAAATCTAGATGGCGCAATTAATCATGCCTAACAGTATTTATGCCATTCATGAACTTTTCGAACTATTTCAACTTCTTCATCTTCTTACTTAAATATTGACTTTTTGTCAACTCTGATTTTATCATTTACTCGTTCATCTTGATTCAACACAAAAATAATGCTCCTATAATTTTAGATATACACAATCGATATCTATAACTACATGCATGGTTTGTATGTATGTAGTTATATCTGTTAAGGATGCGTCATTTTTAAATGTTTATATAAAGGCGGCTCCTACGTATAAATCCATACCAATACACTGGACATTCGTAGTGTATATATTATATTTATCCTTGATTTTTGATTTAGTCATGCAACATAGCTAATCATCTGAAGAGCAGGAAGCGCATAGCTTGGCCTTACACACTACATACATATATATACTATCTCATCAAGAACTTATTTTAAATTGGGTAAGGTTAGGTTAATTTAGGATGGCTTCCTTCAAGCATGGAGGGTGAGGAAGCGAAGAAAAATGGGGAGCTCGGCAAACGGTTAATCTTTGCTCCCGAATGTTTCCCGTAGGCAAACAAAAAGTGACAACCAAGATGTCAACCCATAGACTCCCGATGGCTGGGCAGTTGAGCAGCACACATTGAAGTGATTTCACCTCATCATCCTCCAAACAGCTGCTGCAGTAGGAGGTTGAGATGATGTTGATTATCTTCGCTTGAGTTCGGATAGGAAAGTTACCTATTAGAGCTCCCAGCAGCAAGGTTTTAAGAACTCTATTGACTGTCGCCGGTTAACACGTGGCCAGAAGGACGTAGCCACTGTGCTTTCTAAAGTTTCCAACCAAATTGTGACAGTGAAAAGTGGCCAGTCTTGAACATACCATCAAGAAGCCTAAGGCTTTGATTACCGCTTGAATATCACAGTATATCAATGCTCATTTGAAATAACGACGCAACTCAAAATTTTATATTTTTCAGTAGAGCCAATTAAAGAATTTTTGTTTCGTAATTTAGCAATCATATGTCTGGGAACGTTACTATTCCGGATTAATTGCAGCCATTCTGTAGGGAAAATTTGTAAGCTTTAAAATTCTGACTTTTTTGTACAGATTCAGTAATAGTTGGACTAAAAAAATACGAAATATGTAACAACATCTAAGTAGTTAAACGAAAAAAACTCCACTGGTATTGCTAAACACCGACAGAAAACGAAAAGTGTCATTATTTCCCATAAAAATATTCACAGACACTACACCCCGTCCAACCCACGTCAGAGAGAGGACAGCGACGTCATGTTTATCCAGACTGATGCCAAACATCGAGAGTCCAGAGCAGCAGTCCAGACAAGTACTAGCAGGAGTAGTTTGATCGATATCTACTCTTGCATGGAGTTAAAATCTGGTTCGCCGCATTAAAACGCTCATCGTATTTAAGTTCAAGGGAACGAACGAAATGTATCGGTTGCGGTTTCGGTAGAGCGATCTTTATTCGCGCAACAGCTCTTTGACAGTGAAGTGCCTACATTTGGTATGTTCTGGTTTCACTAAGCCACTTAACCAATGTACGCCGATAAATTGTAAGCGATGTCGCTCAAATAAAATTCGCTCTTACCGAACCGCAGCCTAAGGGTATGTTCTGCATACACTTGCCATTTATAGAATGTTTCCACTCGATCTCGCAAGAGCGAACGAGGTGGGGTAGTGCAACAAAATGCAGGTGGACACATCGCCTTATCCTCAATATCGATATACTATGCATCAGCAGGCAGCTAGGTGAGGAATATGTCTACCTAATATAAGATCTTAGCGGGCATGGATGCTTTAACGCCTACCGCCATCGCTTTGGTCTTGAAGGTGTTCCATACTGTAACTACTGTGGTCCTAATGAAATAGATGATGCAGAGCACATGCTCTTTACAAGTCTCCGGTTCAGAACTCAGAAAATGAAACTCAAAGAACGCCTCAGCAGCATATTTACACCGGAAACACTAGTCCTACTAGTGGTGTTGAGCCAATGCGCTTTGAAGGAATTTCAAGTCACTTCTGCCTTAGTTATACAGAAAGCGCAAGGAAGAACGAGGCGAGGTAAGAAGCAGCTACATCAGATTAACGGGCCCAGGCTAAATAAAAAGTTCAGTTTCCTTAAAAAGCTACGGCATGGTGAGGGAGATTCTCCCAACTAATAGTATAAGCAGCAATAAATTGCTGTCCCGGACGTTATTAGACTTGAAACGAAGTTCTTACATATGTACATAGTTACAAAAGGCCAATGAGGCTGGTAGGTTTAAGACAAAACCAAGGTAAACAGTGAGAGGAATCATACGAAAAGTAACGAAGCAAAATACTTAAAGGTTGTATCAGGGGGATTGGTACATAAACGGAAGGGGGACTAGTGGACTAAAATTGCACACTTCCGGTTTTTGGAGTTAGGCATTCGATACTTCTGCCTCTGAAAAAAGTACTTATTGCTAGATTTTTAAGGACTGGTGCCACTTTAGTATAGTAACTATGACCCTATTAGTTTGTCGATGATGAGCTTTAGTCGCTTCCATACATTTTTTAAAGCTCCTCAATGGGTAATGGTAAATGAGTGTAATTAAGGCAATTAAGCTGTTGGTCCTTCAATCAAACCACACACCAGAAGGCTAGAAAAATAAAAGAGCTGTTATTATATTATATTATAAAAAAAGCCATTAAGAGAAATTTCCGAGTTGCCATTCAATAACATTAGCAAGTATTCCTTCTTTCGCTCAAACTAGCTTGTGCGGTTGTTACTAAATTTCATATAACTGACATGCAGTGGATCGGTCACACAAAATTTACGGGGTTTATTCCTTTAAGTCCTTAATGCGTAAGCGTTAAAATTTTTGCTTTCTTTTAAA